TGTAGGGAATTACATTTATGTATCAATAGAGAATGAACAGCCTAGAAATGAATCCAAGTGTGTGTGTGTGTGTGTGTGTGTGTGTGTAGTAAAATGAATTTAAAGCCAATAAGAAAATCTATTAGTCAATAAATAGTTTTGGAAAATTGGCTATTTGCAGAAAAAAATTAAAGTTCACCTCTACATTATACTATATACCAAAATAAATACCAAAGGATTAAAGATTGAATTGTGAAAAAAGAAAACAGAAAAGGACTAGATAATAAAAGTGAATATTTTTTCAGATTTCAGGCTGGGAAAGCCATTTTAAGCACCCTAAGAATACACACAAAGGAAAAGATTTCTATATTTGATTATCTACAGATTTAATATATTGATTGAATTTGAAAAATATTATTTCACAAATACTATGGAAATAATTGCCTCAGACAAGAATTATTAATTGATGTTAAAACCATTAAGTGAATGGTTGATGGGGATTTGTATAGTGCCAAAGTAACACTACACAGATTGCATTCTAGTCTTAAGAGGTAAAATATAATTGTAAACTGGAAGCTATTAGTCTAGCACCTCCTTTAATCAGTAGTCAGTCTTAGCCTTACTAATGGTGGGTTAACAAGACATGTGTCTTCTGCTCTGATGCAATATAAAGTATACAACATCACCTAGAATATATTTTAGCAAGAAAATATTTAACTTCAAACCATCAAACTTTAGATATAATTTTCAGTTTACAAAAAATATATAAGAGATATACGTTTATTTGTAAAACAAAAAACGAGACAAATCTAGAAGATGGATCATTCTGTAGGACAACATGGTAATACCTTCAACAAATCACTGTCATGAAGAAAGGGGTGGGAAGGGAGAGCTGTGCTAATTTAAAAGACAGGTGAAATATTAATCACATAAAAAATTGGTCCTTGAGAGGATACTACTTTAGACTATCATATGCAAAGGACGTTTTTGGGATGACTGGGGAAATTCGAATGTGGCCTGGGTATTAAATGAGATGAAAATTTGCTGAAATAAAACTTTATGGTCCCCCTTTGAAAAATACTGGTAAACGTTTCGTGTGATCTTGAAAAGAAGATATTTTCTGCCACAATTGGGTGTAATGTTCTAAATATGTCAATCATGTCAAGTTTATTAATCCTGTTGTTCAAATCTTCTACATCCTTAATGATTTTATCTGTCCAATCAAATACTGAGAAAGGATGTTACATTTTCCCGCTATGTAGTGGATTTGCTTATTTCTCCTATAGATCTGTCAACTTATGCTTTATATGTTTTACGTTTTGTTATTAGGTATATAAAAATTTAAGATCATTATATCTTTCTTATGTATTGACACTTTTTTCACTATAAAAAGTATTTATAGTTATGCTACTGCTCTTAAAATGAATTTTCTTTTAGTGTTTGCATGTTATATTTTTTCCTTCTATTTGCCTTCCACCTTTCTATATACTTATATTTAAAGAGTATCATTTTAAAGCAGCGTATAGTTGTCTTGTTTTTTTTTTAATCCAATTTGAAACTGTCTTTTAACTGGAGTCTTTAATCCACACACATCTAGTGTAATTTTTTATATACTTGAGTTTAAATTTACCATCTTACTATTTGTTTTCTATTTGACTCATCATCCCATGTCCCTTTTTCTCTTTCCTGCTACTTTCTGGATTAAGTATTTATTATAATCTCAATTTTTTCTTCTGTTTGTATATTACATATTACTTTACTGTAATATAGTATTTACCCTAAATATGACTAAATGCATTTTTGACATCTTAAAATATAATGTAATTTAATACTTTTGCCACTTCTCAAACAATATGTAAATGCAAAATATTCTAACTACATTTACCACCTCCCAATTTATGTGCTATTTTGGTTATGT